AATTATTAATAATGCCCCTTTCACTCTCAAGAGATTCAGTTTAGATGATAAATTATGCAGTCATCCCTTAACAACCCTATTGCAGGGGAAGGGGCCATGTCTTTTTGGATATATTCTTTGTGTCAATCTAAGAAAAATTAGTTTACCTTTCCTACAACAAAGCCTTTGGGACCCTATCTTGCAGTCCTTTAAGTATTTCTTTGATGCAATAATTAACAGCTCACATAAGCTAATGAGTAACTCCCTGTAGCTCTCTTAATAGCAGAGCAAATAAAATAACTTTCAGGAGCTCACCTAACTCAGTAGTCTTGGGAGGGAAGCACAAGGGATTATACTTTCAAGTTGCTATTTGGGAAGCAATTTCTAATCATTTAAATTAGGTTTTCCACTTAATAAGTGCAAGATTGCGTCCCCTCCTTGGGCAGCAAGAAAATGGAGATGTAGAGAACTCTGACACTGTGCTTCTTTGGGATAGCATTTCAGGCTTGAATTCAAAGCCCTGCATGGCCTCACACACTTTGCACGGGCTTGAGGACAGGGTGTGCTGTGGGTTAGCAAAATGAGGGTAGTAACACCGTGAGGTGCTGGAAGGGCGCTGGTGGGACAAGGTTTTCAGGTGTACTATGGATCATGAAAGGATGAACAGTTTGTAGGTTCATGTAGGTTTCACTGAACTGCTAGTGCACCATGCTTGCCAAATGACTTCGATCTAAAGGATTTAAAAATACAAACTGAGAGTAATTTCTTCTCACTGGGAAGAATTACCATGAGACCAAAAAGAATGCCTCTGGAAACAAATTGCACATAATTCCTTACTAGCCAGGCTGCTTGCTCAAGTTGCTTGGCCACTGTCCCCTGCCTACAGAGGCAAGGAACCTGGAGTTTGAGGATTCTATCCATGGCTCTAACACCTAATTAGCTTTTTAATCTTGCATTCTTTTGTTTAAAGAGCCAGCTGTCCCCATTTTACAAGGTTTTGGTCCCAGAAATCCTGAATCTTGCCATGCCTGTCCTACACCATACATTTACACATCTGATGTTTTAATATGCTCTTGATCAGAGGGAAGACAAAAGAAGTCTGGGCGTGACTCAGCTTGCATTCAGCTTAGGAAAATAGGTGGAGGCCTGGGGGGAAGTTGGGGCCAGTGTAACATGGAGAGCCAGCTCAATGAACTTTTGGTCTGTCCCAAACTTCTGCCCCTCTCCTACACCATCAGCTCTTTGCCTAGAGCACACTTGGTTTTCAGATTCAGAACTTTACATCTGGTAAGGCATCTGTTTTGTCAGCATCCCTTCATTTTCCAGGTGCTAAGCATGATTTATGCATTTCTAATTCCTGAGTGCTCCTCCCTGTTTCACAAAGATACAGTGTTGGCCAATTCCTTGAGCAGATGACATATTTCTTACTTGTTAAATATCATCTGCCTGGAGTTCTCTGGGTGGGTGGAAAGCAATGAGTAAAACTTACCTAGGTAAGCTTAAAGCACAAATCAGTACATTTCTCAAATCTTCCTTTAGAAGATTAGAATCAAATTAGAATTAGAATCAAAGCCTCTTCATTTATCCTTGAGGAAGATAAGATAAAGTTTAAAAAGAAAAGACAACACTGCTAACAGAGTTTAAAACTTGTCCTTTGTTTCACATTCAGAGCTACCATTTATTCAGACCATGGGATTGATAATATAGGTAAGATATTATTTATACAAATATATTTATATATTTATTCCAGTCCTTTCAACAACTGGAAGATATAGATATTATTAGTCTCATTTTGCTGATGTAGCAATTAAAGCTCAGAGAAGCTATGGAATTTACCTAAGTCACAGTTGTGGGGTTTCCTATGGAGTTTGACATTTAGGGATTGTAATATCAGAAGAAGACCATGGCCATAGCCAGCCTTCCATTCCCTATTTCATACAAATATGAGTTTAGATTCATGTTCTGAGACTTCCTAGCTAGGTGTAGCCTTGGGAAGGACGCTCCTCATCTCACTTTCCTTATTTATAAAGTGAACAAAATGCCTTCCTTCTTAAAGCAATCAGAAGGATGAGCTCTAGCCCTGGTTTGTGAATACTTAATTTCCAAACCAAGGGATGGAACTATGTATCACAGATCCATCACACAGGAGCTACTATATGCATTGTTACTCAATTCCTTCAGCTTCCCTAAGTATTTCTCCTGTTCAGTGAGATTCTGTCTCATTGCTTGATCTAAAAGGTCAACCCCATACTGCCTTTCCATTTGCTCCTTCTTGCTTTATCTATACACAAGCCAGGTCAAGAATCTGGTCTGGACACGGTACAGAGCCATGTACATTATAAATACTTAATGTATATTGAGTAAGTGAATGAAAAAACATAGTCTTTGAACCTGAAAGACCTAGGTTTGAACTGTACATTTGCTTTATACACGTGTGTGTGTGTGTGTGTGTGTGTGTGTGTGTGTGTGTGTGTGTGTGTGTGTTCATACTGGGGCTTGAACTTAGGGCCTCATGCTCTGATTCAGCTTTATTTATACATTGCTAGTACTCTATCACTTTAGTCATGGCTCCAGGCTCAGCTTTTTGCTGGTTAATTGGAGATAAGAACCTCTTGGATTTGTCTATCTAGGTTAACTTCGAACTGTGATCCTCAGATCTCAGACCCCTGAGTAACTAGGATTATATGTATAAGTCACTGGTATCAGGTATGGTTTTTGTTTTAGCTACAGTAGTGGGATTTGAATTCAGAGTCTGTGCTTTCTAAAATTCAAAGCCTTGCGCTCTAGTACCTGAGGCATTCTGCCAGTTCATATTGCTAGTTCTTACTATCCATGGGGGTACTACTTATAAAGTCCTTAATCCTTGACTTTTTTATTTGTAAAGTATAAAGAACAAAAACTTGAAAGACTCTTTTCTTTTTTATGTGTGTGTGGGGAGAGGGGGCTTGAACTCAGGGCCTTGGTGCTATCCCTGGGCTTTGGTGATCAAGGCTAGCATACCACCACTTGAGCCACAGCTCCATATCCACCCTTTCTGATAATTAACTGGTGCTAAAAGTTTCACAGACTTTCTTGCCCAGGTTGGCTTTGAACCAAGATCTTCAGAACTTAGTTTTCTGAGTAGTTAGAATTACAGATGTGAGCCACCAGTGCTGAGCTTTGTTTAGAGTTTTTGGGATACGTGAGAAAGCTGGAAGTTGTGAATACCTTCATTAGTTTTTGCTGGAATGTCCTCTTTGTTAGACCATTAACACGTGAATAGGTGTGAAAGCATCAAAAGTGCCAGATGTTCACATACATACACATGTATGTATGTATGTATCTATCCATCTATCTATCAATATATATATATTATAGACATGTATATAGATATGTATATATGTCTGTACATCCACATAGAACATCCTACTGGGTTTTTTTTGTCGGTCGTGGGGCTTGAACTCTGGGCCTGGGCACTGTCCCTGCGCTGTTCAGCTCAAGGCAAGCACTCTACCGTTTGAGCCACAGCACCACTTCTGGTTTTCTGGTGGTGTACTGGAGATGAGTCTTATGGAGTTTCCTGCCCGGGCTGGCTTTGAACTGTGATCCTCAGATCTCAGCCTCTTGAGCAGCTAGGATTTCAGGTGTGAGCCACCGGGGCGCCCGGCTACATCCTGTTTGAAGAAACAAAAAGGAGAAAGATCTGGTGGAGAGTAATTAATATAGAAGTATATCATATCTATATGGAATAAGGAATCTCCTTGAAGGCTGTTAAATAATAAGAAATGGAGTGATAAGGAGACAGACCGATAGAAAAAAAATGGTTAAAATATGATATTTGCACTTGCAAAATACCATGGTAAAAAACACATTGCAATTAACATACCATTTTTTGAAAAATAACAAAGCCAGGAGCTGGTGGCCCATACCTGTAGCTTTAGCTATTCAAGCTTAAAGTGAAGGATTGAAATTTTGAGGGCAACCAGGGTAGAAAAGTACACAAGACTCTACCTCCAAAGTATCTAGAAAAAAAGCAGGAGGCATCGTTGAAGTGGTACAGTGTCAGCCTAGGAAGCAAGCAAACAGGGTAAGTTCAAATCTAATACAACCCCAACAAAACAGTGAATGAATGACAGGAGAGTGGGTAAGAGATGGATGAATGAAGAGGTTGAGTAAGTGTAACTATGGACCTAAACATGTACGGATGAAAATCGAAGAAGGAGACCAGTTGAAATTGTTTCAAGAAGAGAGAGTAATAGAGGGGAAGAAGTTGATGAAGAACATTATAATTACATTGGGAGAAATCAAAGTGAAGTTCCCTTGTACAATTATTGTATGCCATTAAAAAATCTTTACAAAAGGAAATTATAACACACGCGATGCTAAAAGATCAGATTTCAGTACATCCTTGTTTGGGAGCACAAATGGTCAGATTTTGAGCCTAAGATCACTCAAAAACTGGGTGTAGGGAGGCCCCTCAGTGAAGGCAGCACTGGAGAAAGGGGGCCTAGGGGGGACTGGATTTTGTGGTGTGGGGCCTCACTGGTCTACACATCTGTTGACATTCACTGACCAGTTATTCTTTCTATATTTCGGATTGTATTTCCTGCTGCCTCTTTAAAGCTGTCTTTTCGACAGCATGGCGTGGTGGTGGGGATGGTGATCCCAGAAGATAGGAGATCCTCTGGGCCTGTCACACAAGATAGGAGATCCTCTGGGCCTGTCCAAAATTTTCTGGCGTGAAAAATCACGTAACATAAATTCCACACGTGCAGCTTTGCAATGAATCCAAGGTGAGAAAATCTGCAAAGTGTGATACCGATATGTGTAGCAACAAGCAGTCAAGCACGATCACCTTCTCTTCCAGCCCCTCTCCCAGCGCTTCAGTCTCCACTCTGTTTCCCTACAGCGCACTGGGAAGGAGGCTTCACCCCGGGGAGGAGCCGGCCCCACGCCCCAAGCCCCGAGCCCCCGCCCCGCCCCGCCCCTCCTGATCCCTGCGCCCACACTCTCTAGGGCTTGGTCCTGAGCCGAGCCCGTCTGGCTGCGCGTCCCCAGCCCCGCACTGCTCTGCGGGCCGGCCGCCAGGATGCAGGCCCCGCACAAAGAGCACCTGTACAAGCTGTTGGTGATCGGTGACCTGGGCGTGGGTAAGACCAGCATCATCAAACGCTACGTACACCAGAACTTCTCCTCGCACTACCGGGCCACGATCGGCGTGGACTTCGCGCTGAAAGTGTTGCACTGGGACGCAGAGACCGTGGTGCGCCTGCAGCTCTGGGACATCGCAGGTGAGCGCCCCCGGAGCAGGGCGTGGGGGACCGGGCTCGGGATTCAGGTGGCCAGGGCGTTCCCCCCCACCTTTACCCCTCACCGGGACCCCCCCCCCCCATTCTCCCGCTTCAGAGACTTTCCTTGGTGGCTTGAAAACCTGTTTGCAAAGATGAAAACAAAAGTTTCCCAACTCCAGTAAAACCAAGTGGCGCGTTGGGGTTGGGGCTCTCAATTCACTCGCTGTGCTGGAGCGGGCGGCCACAGGGACCCAGAGGGAGCCGGGGCGGATTGCATTGGATTCTCTTAATTTGTTTTCTGTGCCCTGGGTCTCGCACACGCGCTCGGTGCCCAGCCACAAGGAGCAGCCGATAATCTCAGGTTAGCAGTACTTGGGCCGGTTACTGTGAAAAAAGCAAAGTATTTCAAAGCTCACTTGATTCTAAGTTTCACCAGCCTCTCTTCGGCTCTCCAATAAAGGAACTTGGAAATGCATTGCTTTTTATATGCAAATCAAGGACAAAGAACGTTGCCTCTCGTGGCCACCCCTATCAATTCAATGTCTTAACTCTCCATCTTCTCAATTTTTTAGGCTCTCCGTAGTCTATCAAAAGGGAATTTTGGTTTTGTTTTAAGACAACTTTTGGGTAAGAGTGGAGGACACCAATTAATTCGTGTGTGCCTGTACTGGGGCTTGGACACTGGCTCTTCCTCTCCCTTGGCTTTTCAGTTCAAGGCTGGTGCTTTATTCAATTCTACTCTCTATTTCTTGCTGGTTCATTGGAGATAAGACTCCCAGGGACTCTTACCTGCCATAGCTGGATTCAAAACGGTATCTCAGATCTCAGCCTCCTGAGTAGCTAGGATGACAGGTGTGAGCCACCACCAGCACTTGGTTAAGAATTATTTATTTGAACCTAAACATTTCATTGGTCTGAAAAATGAGATGCTTGTAATTTTTCCCATAGTTTTGTTAGCATCCATTAGTTGTCTGAGGGGGCTTCCCCTTGACATATTCTTTTTTTTTTTTTTTTCATCATTTCTGGCTTTTTTTTTTTTTGGTAGTTAAATGGAGATGAGAATCTCACAGACTTTCCTGCCAGAGCTGGCTTTATTTTTTTTTTTTTTTTTTTTTGTCGGTTGTGGGGCTTGAACTCTGGGCCTGGGCGCTGTCCCTCAGCTCTTCAGCTCAAGGCGAGCGCTCTACCACTTGAGCTACAGCGCCACTTTCCCTTGACATATTCTTAAATGCATACAATATACCTTGTACTCATCACTCCTCTTAATCTCCTTGTCTTCCTTCCCAAGCCAATCTCAACAAGCCCCATTGTTTCATTTTTACATGGATGTACAAAGCGAAACTTTAAAAAATAGTTTTTGAAATCAGAATTTGACTGAGGAGTTTGTATCAGGACTTAGGCAAAGTCAAAATGATGATGTTAAGTGTCTCCTTGAAGAACAAGTCCTGGGACTAAGGCTGTTTGCAACCAGAGCATGCCCAGACTCTTATTTCAGATGCTGGCTCTGCCACTCAGCAACCTGCCTGGTGGCTTTGGACAAGTTCCTTCAATTCAATTGCATTGTATTTCTACTAAACTGAAAGGAGTTGGGCAATGGCAGATTGGAAACCTTCCTGCTTCAAAGTTTGAAGGTTCTCAGATTGTCTGTGAAACATTTCAGATTCCTTCATCTCTTGCTATTTAATGGTCTGTAACACCAGGAAACCACTCCTGATAATTGCTGTACCTAAACTAGCCAATTCTTTTTTTTCTTTTTCTTTCTTTCTTTCTTTTTTTTTTTTTTTTAGAAAAGAGGTTCATTTCAACTGGTGCATTTGACTGGAAACATTTTATCATGACTTAAAGCGAGAACAAATGAGGAGAATTTTTGAAAGGGCATTTCTGGTCTGAGGACTTCAATGCCTCTTTAATTATGAGCTTCTAGGTCTTATGATAAAGCTCTTGGCACGTGGACAGATTCATGCATTTGAAGTCTTTGGCAGCGCCAGAGGTACACTGGTCATCAAAGGCCAGAAGATGTCAGTCCAGGTCTCACTGGGATTTCCACCTAAAAAAAATAAATCTACACTGAGTCTTTATAATGTGTTGATACAGGTTTTCGTATCTGAAAGCTTATGGCTACATAAAAATCTCCAGATCCTGGGCTTAGAAATAGCTACTGTTTAATTTTTGCTTCAAATTTAAGTGTTCTCAAGTACATTACACATCTGTAACATGTCACATGTAGTGTCCCCTTCTAAACAGGAGAGATAGAGGGAGATAGTGCGTTGGGCCCAGGGTTCAAGCATAGAAACCTGACAAATTGGGAGGCTGAGATGGGGAGTGTCATGGTTTGAGGCCAGAGTGGGCCTTGTGAAACTGCCATCTCAACCACTAAAAAGCTGGGAACAGCAGAGCCCACCCCTCAGCCCAGGTATGCAAAAAAAACATAAGCAAGAGAACTGTGGTCCAGGACAGCCCAGGCCAAAATTGAGACTACATTAGAAAAATAGTAAAAAATAAAAAAAAAGGGCTAAAGTTGTAGTTTAAGTGATAAAATCCCTGCCCGGCAACAGTAAAACCATGAATTCAAATAACAGTACTCCCCAAAAAAGATAAAGAAAAGAAAGATATGTGGTTATGAACTTAAATTCCAGAGTTGAACTGCCTCTGTTGGAATCCCACATAGTGATCTCGGCAAATTCCCTAAATCCTTTGTGTTTTGTTTTTGTTTTTTAATCTATAAGCAAGGAGGACGTTTTATTCCCCCCTTCCCAAATAAACGCTGAACAACTAAAATGATGCCAGCTAAAGGCTATCATGTCTCCCACAAAAGCTCTTGGAGTATTATTGTTGTATCTTTTCTTGAGCACGTGTGAATGCTAGGCAAGAGGAACATTATATGCCTGTAATGAGTCCTTTTAAACTGTAGTTACTTTGGCACACGTACTACCTGCGTCCTCAAGTAACCAGTTCCATTTTCAGCCTCACCTACTTTACATCATAAACCAGTCTATCTCCTAAGCTTTGACATTCTCCCTGAGCCATAGCGCTGGACTGAAGTTGGGTTGGAAGCTGTAGTCAGAAGTCTGTGTGAGTAAGTGACTGGGAGTTTGGCAAAGTGAGTTCTACAGATACAGTAATGTTTTCAGCTTTTCAATAGGGCAGTGTCTCACACATGCTCAGTGATAACCTAGCACTGGCAGCCGGAAGCTCAAGAATACTCTGAGCTGAGTTCAAGGCTGGAGAGTAGGCAGCCTCTGGGTGAGCACAGGCCAGGGTGGGAGAAAATGGTTGGACATACATGTTTCAAATTGCATAAAGGTCCTGTTGGTGATAAGTTCCTATGAAGTCCAAGCCAAAGCTCATCAGAGTCTGGTTGCTTATGTGTACCTCCAAGCTCCAACCTGTCTTTCCCCTTTGTGCTCAACTCCAGTGTTATCCAGTAAAAACAGGAAGTAAAGTGTAGTGGGCCTCCTTTTCAGAGGGTTTGGGCTGTCAGTAAGGTGGAGGTGGTTACTAGGGATGTGTGCCATTGAGGGACTCTTTCCTTGGTTAAATTCTTGGTGTGCAATGCTAAGTAGGACCCTATGTGACCAAATATTTCCATGTCACTTTATTTCTACTGTCACTTTGACTGTCTAGTATGATTCTGAAATTCCCCATTGTGGTCTGTACTATTTGAGGGAGAGCAGGTACCTTGGATCCCAGTGAGAAGGACATAGAGAAACAACTCTGTGTTCAGAAACTCTGGACAGAGTCAGAGAAATTGAGTAACTTTGCTCAAGGCTGCCCAGCTAATAGTGGAAGATCCGGATTTCACCCATTCTGTTTGACTTGGAAGTAAGCCATGGTCTTTTAAGTTCAGAAGCCTGTGATTGCTTGGTATATTCTTTAGTCTACAGAAAAGACCCTCTTCTCTTCTCTACTTGGCAGGGAATTTTGCCCTTTCCCTGATAATTCTAACTGGATTATTGGATTTGACTATGTCAAAACCGGAAAGACATGAATGAACACTTACTTTATAAATCTGATACTCGATTATGAGTCTTGGTAGGGTTTCCCTTTTAGATACAGGTTAATCAGGAAAAGAAAAAAAGCCAAAAAACTTTTACATTTGATACTGTTAATATGCTCCAAATTATTAACATCTTAATAAATAGCTTAAGCAGATTCTGAATTTAATAAATTATAGAAATTTAAAAATGTAGTTCATGACATTAGGCCAGTTACAAAACCTTGTGAACTCCACCTATAGAACTGCAATTGTTTTTTTCTCAGTGACATCACGTATTTATAAGATATCTCTTGCAGTTTCTATCAGCTTTAATATCATAGTCTCACTGTGCCTAGGGAGTAGGTGGTACATGGCAGTTCATTCCAGTTTCCTTACATGCCAGCCCAGTGCCAGGTATGAGCCTCTTGCCCATTGTGCCTTGGTTTCTTGCTTATATAGTGGGGTCACTAACAGAAGCTATCTTTTACATCTGGTTCCAGCATTAAATGAGCCAGGTGCTGGTGGCTCACATGTGTAATCCTGCCTATTCAAGTGGCTGAGATCTGAGGATCACAATTAGAAGCTAGCTGGGTCAGACAAATTCAAGAGCTTCTTATCTCCAATTAACCTGTAGTCAAGAATTCAATCCTTATCCTATAAAATTTAGAAAAGTGAAGGAAAGGATGGGTAAGAATGTTGAAAGGTTGATTAAGTTGCATTGTATTCATAAAATGTTTATTAAATAGCAACTCCTTTTATACAATGACTTAAAGATAATAATAATAATAATAAAAGAAAAGCTATTATCTCTTTTTTTTTTAATTTTATTTTACTTTATTTGAGAACATACTGTACAGAAGGGTTACAATTACATGGGCAGGATAATGCATACATTTCTTACCAAGCATTGCAGCCTCCTCCTTTGTTTACCCTTCACCTCCCTTCCCAGCCTCCCCCCTCTCCCCCACCCAATCATACCCCCCCTCCCCCCCCCACACCGACATTGTGAAGCTGGTTTTGACAT